CAGTCTGAATCCTTCAGAACTTAGGTATTTCAAATGGCATATTAATATACGGGTTCTGTGAATTGGCCTTTATTTAAATAGATAAAATGTTTCTGTTGGTTGAAACCACATACTTGAAGAAAAACAGAGGGCAAAAGGAAAATTCACTAGAACACTGATGTTACTCATTTCTTCTGGAGTTACACCTTACTAATGCTTCGTGTGTTAGTTACAGGATTTTGTTCTGCAAGAGGTTGCTTCGAACTTGTACTGCTGTTGCTGTTAGCAGTGGAGCGGCCACGGCCACCTCTTCGTCCACGACTCTTACGTCCTGACCGCTGAGGCATATTCTCACGCTTGTCTGCAGTTACTTCAAATGGTGAGTCAGCATCAGGATTTCCTACTGGTGATAGCTAGAACAATATATGGAATGTCATGTCACTATTAATCTATAGTTGATTGTTTTTTCTACTTCTCACTCATTTCATTTGTCCATCAGTTGGTTAAAAAGAATGACCAAATATCAGCTGGCACTGAGCTTGAAAATTGAAGAACTGAAAGGTATATTTCAATATGAAGCATAAATCCAGTGTGGACAGAAAGGAACTTTTCTGTTTTGAGTTTCCTACCAGGGACCTGACAGAGAACGCCCAATGAGTAGGAAAATTCATTCCAGTCTTGGCAGCATGTATGGCAGCTGTGGCAATTGAAGTGATGTGCGAGTACTGCCACAGGGTTCTTGGATGTGACTTGAACTGTTGTTTTCAGTCACTTTTCTTAATTGCATTAGTAAAGTTAATTTCTTCACATGATTAAGTAGCTACTGTATATATTGAAGAGGAAAGCAACCATACTCCAGGCAATAAACGAGCATTTCTTCTCGTGGCAGGCAAAGGTCTTCTGCCAATATGGACATACACTCTCCTTGATGTTAATGTACTGCCAGTATAAAGTTGGCTGTGAAGTTAAACACACTACAGACATTACTCTACATGGTCACAAATTGTATCTGCTTACATTTATTTAGACTACTGTTAAATAACATCATCTCCAAGCCATGGTTGACCACTCTGTTCAAACAGTTGCATGAAGTCTGCACGACATTCTGAAGTTCACACTCAGGCTGGAATA